AAATGACACAAAGGCAGACAAAAATACAAATACGAAAAGAATAACTTGATGATGGAGTAGTGGTTGGGTAGCCATGTACAAATATGTGTGTGCATGTATAGGAAGGAGCAGATCAGCTAAAACAACATTTTGAGCAAACAAGAGCAAAGCACAAGAGCGGAGAATCAAGTAACGCTAGTCGAACCATTAACGCAGTAAAACAAGAAAAGAAAATTTTTGTCGCTTCCAGGGCTTTTACAAGCGTCTAAAAAACTTTTTTCTAGGGTCCCTCTGATCTTAAGTCTAAAGACTTGAGAAAGAAGTTAAGAAGACTGCACCCACAATTCGTGCGAACTTTTTATTAAAGAAAACTAAGTTTTATGCGAAAATTTTCATTTTAGATAAACTATTCCTAGTTTAATTAGATAGGTGATCGTTGACAGAAAAAGGTTCCATATGACTCTTCACCGGTTTTATGGCAGACAAATGATCTATAGAATCTATAATGCCGGGGAAGGTTTTCATTTTTCTTCAGTGAAAGCAAAAAAAAAAAAAAAAAATAAATAAAAATCATAAAACGAAATAATAAACAAAACGTCCCATGGTCAATGTGGCGAATGTGTAGAGTGAAGTGAGTCTCAAAATTGAATAAAAGAGCAAAAGAAAATCAGAAAAAACAATAATAATGTCAGTTCCAGCTGACAGAGTCTGTTCGTGTGGGCCTGGATGTTGGTTTTTCCACGTTAACGATAGACAATAAATCACAATGCTAAGGATGTTTCATTAAATACATGTACAGTGTGTGTAAATATGTATAATTTTTGGGGTTTAATGAAAGTCACATGTGTTTAAACGTTTACTGTTTTTTCATTTTTTCATTAACGTAATTTTTATATGGTTTTAAGTACGATAGCAGCACGAACAGTACAGTTATTTTCTTTTCTTTTTTTCTGGTAATATATCACAAAGGTTCGATAAAACGCATACACCATATATACATATATGTGGGGCTCATCAGTAAGAGATTTTAAATCGATTTAATAATGTTTAACTATGCACCTAAACCGATGTTTTTTCTTCTGCTTCTTTTAGCAGTTTCTTGCAGTAGATATTGAATGCATTTCTTCGACAGAAAAATTGAATTCGTTTTCATTTATAGATGGAAAAGAATTTATTTACAGATCCAAATACAGATACAGGCTTCATTTACAAGGCGAGTTAATTGCGGCGAGGGTTAAGTTCAAACTAGGGAAACTGGTCCTACACGTTAGCGTACGGGTAAAAAAAAGTTGAGCATTAGGGAAGGCCTGCGTTATTTGCGTGCTTATCTCAGTTCACATATTTTGTTTCTGGGACTTCATTGCCACCTAAAAAGTGACATTGATTGGCGAACCAAATCTCATTTCTTGCATTAGATTTCAACATTTAGCAATACACGTGTATAGTAGATATTGAAAGAGGTAAACATTTTTGAAGTTTTATAACGAATTTAAATGGAAAATAACAAGTTCTCTGGCAAAAAAAAAGAATTCATTTTAACACCATCTTGAACAACGTCAGTTCATGTTTTAACGTCCCTACCATACAAGACTACTCATAAAAAGAAAGCGAAAGCGAAGAGTTGCGTCAAGCAAGATGGTGCAAGATATATATGGCACAAGAGACATAAAAGCCGACCAAATTTGTTGAGAATGGAATGTCACCTTTTCGAACACCTGATCGAAGCCATTTTTGTTGCTTCATCTACACATGTCGCAAAATTCAAATTCCCGGTAATTAACATTAATATGAAATACATTACTCTTAAGGAGTGTTACAGCGATGTAATAACATTTTTCAGTTTTGTATGTGCTTCGGAAATAAAAAACATTTTCATTTATAAATACTTCAAGCATTTGCTTGTTATTTTCTCTAATTTGCTGGATGATTTTGCATAAGTTAAATGATTGTCTTGGCACAGGTGTAACAGTAATGAACTACAGGGCCTTCGCTTCCCATCTCAGTACGTTGCACTCATGTCATAATAATTACTTATTTGTCAGCATACTTTTCAGCACCGCCACCATCCATCAATCATATGTGCAATAACCAAATAACGGCGAGGTCATTTCACCTTCTCGTAGGGCTTGTTATTTAATATGTTTTATCAGCTAAGCGCATTCGACAAAAGGCAAGAAAGGGAAAAAATTTGAAACTTTAATTGAAAGTTCCTTTGTTGTCAACTAAATTGCTAAGAGTTAGGCGACTGAATTCAGTTGTACCGATAAAGAACATTCCGGAAGTATACAGAATTTCGAATAATGCGGTAAATCATTCTGCAGAGTTAGTAATTATTGTCGAATTGGATGCAAGGGAAATGAATTCTTGGACTAAAATTTTGTATAACTTTGATATCAGTTTTTCGCCAAAGCAGAAGAAATTAAATTGGCGGAGTGAATGGCTCACGTGTGAAGAGTTTTAAAGATTGCCAGACCTTCCATGATTATTAAACGCTTCTTTTGGAGCGTTCTACGTAAGATATATTTTTTTGCGATATCTAGCTTAACACACTCCTTACTTGTGAGCGAAATCGTGACGTTGCCTAAATATCGACAATTTAAGGGAAAGCACGTGGACGTCAATTTTGAGGCTATGGAGAATGTATAACAAGAGGAAATGTTTCAGTTCTTTACTAAGGAACTCTGCTTCGAACCAATAGAAAATTACGCCAATCAACTAAATCTCCTAAGCGAGAAATTATGAAAGGGATAAGTTTTCAGTCGCTACACATATTTAGCCAATTGCCTTACTACCTTGCGAGCGTTAATATCCAAGTAAAATTCTTCAGGCCGCAGATATTGGAGGAAGCACTTTATGGACCACATAAATGCTAGGATGCTCCCGAAGAGTAACGCAGTAATATCTTTCAGGCTTGGCTTGCGCTGTGACACTCTATCACGTTCTCTTTTATGAGACGGGCTGCTGCCTAATCCCATCGCATTTGCACCGCTGCTGGACGTCGCGCGTACGACTTTCTACCTTTCTTTTGCATTAATTGCATGCTCCCGGGTTTCTATCTCTATGGAGGAAGACTTTTTTTTTATTTATTGGCGAGCTCACAAAGTACATTGATACCTTATCGTATTTACATGTCAAAAAATGTATGCATTTCCGAACTCTAACTCAAACCTTATAGCGAGAATCGGTCAAGAACATTTACGCAAAAATCGTCATTCGTTATTATCGGCTTTTTTCTGGATAAATGGCGTGTGTCATTGTTTGTTTTTACGCACTGTAACTCCTATCTTTGGATTTAATTTCAACAATACGTCGATAGTTTCATATGCAAGTGCGGAGCCAAGCATGTCTGAAAAGTCGGCATATCTGACCCCCATGCATTCTTCTTTAGTTCTATATCACGTAGTTCTCTTATCATAGCCTCAACTTTCGATCTTTGGAGCGCATTCATTTTTTTATCGACATATGAAGCAGAGCCTAAGCGGTTTCAGTGGCATAATCACGAATTGATTTGTTTTGAATTCGGCAGCGCGTAGAAAATTCTAGAGGGCTTGTTAGCTTTACATGTTCGCTGCGTTGCTCTCCTTTGCATCCATAAAAGAGACAAAGTCTGTTCTCTTGTTCTCTGTTATTGCTTGCATGATTTTCTTCGCACTACCGCTTAAGCACTTTATGAGGGTTACACCCTTTTCATCTGCATCCCGTGTACGGTGGCCAAGAAAAACTACTAGTTACTACCATATCGAATTTTAGTTTAAAAGCACGGAAGTGGGCAGCATCATCAAAATATGGGCGTAAGTAATTTACGATTGCTGGCTAGGCAACTAACTTGATGATGCTCACTTTACTCTATAAGGCACGTGACTTATTGCCTGTTTTTTGCGAAAATATGTTTTGTATTTGTTAAAGTTTTTCCTCTATTTTTGCTGCCACTAGTTTTCCCCTACCTTTGTTGTGTTTTTATCAAGTGTTGTTACGATCAAGTGTTGTTCGTCTAGTTTTTATTCCGTTTTTCCTCTCGGCAAGCTAGCGGATTTCCATCAATATTGCCTTGCAATTCATATACGGTAGAGTCCACCCGAAGTTTTCCCAGATGTTTCCCTAAGGGGCGTAGTTTAGGTTTTACCAACTGCTGTTTGAGTTCACCAGCTCGGACTTCTTCTAATTTTGCTAGTGATCTCGTCTCGACTCAAAAAGCTCCTTTTGACGCTACTATTACGTAATATTACTTTCTCTTTACATGTTATCCCCAATGCTAAGTTCGAACCGTTGGACTGTGAATTTAAAATGGCGTAAGCTTTGTTTGTAAATTTAAAACAACTTATTACCCAACAACTGTTGACAGAGTTAAGGTAACTTAATTTCAACAATGCTTCCCCTTTCGAAAGCTTTAATTTTGATATTTTGGCAAGAGAATGTTTTTGATCGTTGGTTTAGCGCTTATCTCTTTAATTAGAGTTGAGTTTCCTAACACTAAGAGATCGAAAATTTTGTGTGCGTTTCTTTTTGGGCTACTCTTTTTCCATGGTTGTTTTTCTTTAGTTCTTGCGCCTTTTTTTTTTTTATTTATATTGCTCTCTTTTTCTCTCTCCGATGACGTGTTGCGGTTCGGATAATGGGACAATTTACCTTTAGGTGTGACGTGAGATCACTCTATATCTATCTATATGTATCTATAATCGAACCAGTTATTCAATGGCTTCTATTCTGAAACTATTTGTGATTGAAGAAAAAGATCAAAGGACGAGATCTGCCGAAAAAAGTTTAATTTTTTTGGATCAAGGCTAGGGTTACGGTTGTAGCGCACTTCTTTTGAGTTGAGAGCGATTATGTGTACTCGTGAACGAGTTTGGACCCGTTTAACCACCCACTCAGTTTTTTAAAAAGGTTAGCGGTTTTTTTATATCATTTGTCTTGCAGAATACCTTTTTTCCTAGTAAGTTATATGTTGAAAAAAAACAATAACAAAAAAAAATTATTTATAAGATGTGTTTTGCTTTAACTGTAAAATTTCGACCAAAATAATGTTAATAGTAGGAACTGGTATCGCAACTAGGGAATTTAATTTCTTTTCATTGGTATGTTGTCCAAAAAAGCGTTAATAAAACATGGAGAAACAGTATTGGAAAAAAGGTGTTCTGTGAATTTAATGGCTTCCATTTTACTTTACGATTGTTATAGGGAATATTCAGAGTTAAAATTGCTATCGCGGATATTCTGAGCTGAAATCGTCATTGGGGTTAAACAGTGTTGTAAGTAAAACATGTTTGCTTTTCTTTTTGTTTTGATGTTTTTAATTTTCTTATTATGTTCTCTTCTTTTATTTAATTGTTGTTCCTAATGTTTATTTGTACTTTTTTTACTTATACTTTTGAAATTTATTTACTTATTTACTTATTCTTTTCTTATTTATCTTTTATTTTTCCATTGAAATTGTGTTGAGTTTTAGCTTCAAATTTTTCATATAAACGGTTCATAGAAAATCTATCGAATTGTTTAAGTTCAGGTTGGTTAATAGCTAATAAGTAATAAATAAATAAATAACAAAAAATGCGAAACAATTTGAAAACACTTAAGAATTTTGTAATAATGATAGCTTTTGAAGCTTTTTGCTTTATCTTATATTTGACTTAATGATTATACAGCCATGGACACGTAAGTAGCATGTACTATATCGGACTATGCGCACTAAAAAGAAAGGATCACGTCACAACATATGTTCTTCGATTCCTGTGTGTCATCTCCAAAAACATGCTCCAGCAGATACATCAAGATCAGCTGCATCAAATTACTCACACAAGACAGCCTCGATACTTGCATGGAAAATTGAGCCAGTAAGAGGGGCATGAAACTTAAACAAATGAGGTCCTGTTGCCATGCAGGCTATGGAACGCTATGCTATCGAATTTGCAAACGATAACCAGTGCTGGTGGTCTTTTACAGGGTATTACAATGTAATCAGTCGCTGAACCAATTGGCATTCTGTTGTTTTTCGTGCTATCACTCTTTAGTCAACATTTTCTGCATTTTTGAATGCGTGGTCACTAACCTGCATGGCATTTGTATTTGTATTTAAAATAATATATAGCAATAATATATATAACAAATCTTTCGATTTTTCTTATTTATAACTATTTTGAGTGAACATAGAAGAACAACTCATTTAAAGCAATTAGAAGAGTTAGAGTAGGCCACGGCTCGTTACCAATTCGGGGAGATTTCCGTTCGTGGGGCAACGTACCCAACAAGGGCGACCCGCAGGTTGAACACAATAACATGGACAGACGGACAGACAGGCTTAGATTGCTTCAGAACGTATTCTAATAATAAAGACTCGCGCAAAGTCAACATAACCTGCATCTCAAGTTGTGTAGGATATAAAAATATTGAAATATTCGATACTTAGAAAATAAAGACTGACCAAGAAAATATATTGGTTATGTAGTGAAAAATTTTTTGTTAAAATTTTGATTTAAATAGCGCTATTTATATGTACATGACTATACGCATACATCGTTCGTTTCGTTTATATGACCAATCACTCAGGGGACATATTTAACTGCATTAATATGCTACATACAGTCGTTTTACTTTACTTAATCCCTAAATTGTTATGAGAGAATAGTTCTGCAGATAGCAGGCACTGCATAACCACATATACAATTAGTAAAATCTATGCAAAGTAAAAATTTTCTGAAAAGGTATTACAGTGCTAGTACATGTATACTACAACGACACTCTCACACATTCAATTAGCAAAATTGATACTTGCACTAATTGGCCGTTTTAAGAGCTCCAAATACCCTGTTATTTAACATGAAATTAATTTTCATTTTACGAGCGCGTATATGGCCTCAATTAGTGATAATGCCGTTTGCCAAATAACACTTAAGGATATTTAAGTGGCAAATTTGTTTCAAGCCTCAATAGAGATAGACGTGCCAACCATTTATAGAGACATTCAATATTTGATTGCTATCGTATATACATATATATATATATATATATACATGAACACTTGATTCGTTACATTTCCGTTTCCGTTTACTTAAGCATTTTATGCGGTTTGTTATCTTGGCTTTGTTGCTCTTATTCTTTAAATTTTCATTTCCTTCTTTTGGTTACGTAAAAGTAAAAACGAAAATAGGAAAAAAAAACAAATGTCATCGCATTCCTTAAAATTGGAAGACAATCCAATGCTGGAGATAAATGTAAAAGTGTGGAAATATTTGTCGGTTATATTTCCGGATCGTGAACATGCTTGGCGTGTATACGTGTTTGTGTTGCCGGTCTGTGTAATGAATATCATGCAGTTTGTGTATTTGCTTCGGATGTGGGGCGATTTGGCTCCGTTTATACTCAATACATTTTTTGCAGCAGCAATATTTGATGCTTTGTTGCGTACGTGCCTCGTTATTATCAATCGCGATAAGTTCGAGGCATTCCTTTTAGAATTGACGGAAATGTATCGTGATATAGAAATAAGTGTAAGCGGTACACATGACTAAATGCAACGATAGACCGACCGTTGCCTTTGTCAATATCTAAGTTTTCCTTCTCTTTTTTCATTGTTTTTTTTGTGCTGCCATGCATTTTAAAGGAAAGCAAAGATGATACTTACGGCAGAGACTTGTTAAGAGCAGCCACCACCACTGTACGCAAAATATCAATTTTCAATTTAACCGCTTCATTTTTCGATATAATTGGTGCATTGATCTATCCGTTACTGTGCGAGGGTAGAGGTAAGTTTACTTTTCTTTAGTTTGTTTGCTGGTTGTTGTTGTTTTTTCTTTGTAAAGCTTTGTTCGGTTTTCCCTTCTTTTTTTTTTTTTTTTTAATTCATTCAGTTCATCCCTTTGGCGTGGCGATACCTGGTGTGGATATGACCGCTTCCCCAATCTATGAAATTTTTTACATTTTCCAATTTCCGACTCCTATCATTTTGACAACGATGTATATGCCGTTTGTTAGTCTGTTTGCATCGTTCGCAATATTTGCTAAAACAGCTCTAAAGGTTTTACAGCATCGAATGAATAGCATGTTTTTGTATAATTATCAAACGGAAGAGCATCAGTTCGCAGCTTTAACCGCATGCATAACCTATTATTCGCGTATAGCAAGGTAAGTTTATCAATTAGGGCGAAATTGGTTTTAGAGCTCTTTTTTCATAGGCTTCAGGATGTTTATTTAATTTATACGTTTATCTCACAATACAAGGAAGAAAGGAAAAAGTTCGTGGCGTTTTTTTTTTGCCTTATTCATGAAGGCATTATTCTTCTCCTTTAAATTATATATTATCGGGTCACCGCCTAGACAAATGGTTAGGAAGCAAGACAATCATATCCGCACATTCGGGACACGGATTCAATTCCTAGTACGGTAAGCCATACTTTAATTAGGATTAGTGTATGGCAGTAGTTTCAGTACCCGAAATAGCATAACACTTATCCTGCGAACAATATGGTTCTGATCGAAGTGACATTGCAAAATGTAGGGTTTCTCTTTTAAATAACGGCTTATTGTGAAACCGAAATTACTTTCGATGGAATTGTATGATTTTTTTGCGTACTGCGTACGTACTGTTTGGAGAGGCGTAGTGCCACCAAAATCACGTTACAGTTCTTCTCGTACAAGAAGAAACGCCACTAACTTTTTCCTTGGCCTAGTATTTAATATTTTTTATTTTTATTTCATCATATTTGTTAAACGCTTTGCTTAGTTATGCATAATATTAATAAATGGCTACATTAGGGAGAAAAACATGTAGAAAATTCTGCAATTTATAAACGTGCTTGCAGAGGCAAAATTAAAATTTCATTTAGATGTTAATAATGTCTGTCTGTCTGTGCTTTATTTATATGGGAATGGCCATATTCCACACATAATATCAATGTATTTATATAGGCTACGGAATATATGATTCTTTAGTTTGGAAAATGGTGTAAATCTTTTTTTTTTGTTCGTATTGATGCATCTAGGAATCAACCTTTGATTCAATTTGAAGTTGTGCTGTAAAACATCTTAGTTTCTTAAACTTGCTCTAGCCAATCAAAGTTAGAATTGGCCGAGCTTTAATTACGCCCACGATGCAAGCCACCTTACTTACAACTATGGCAATCAGAAATTTAAATAAAACAACAACCTCCGGCTAACCCTGTAATTAGATTTACCGATATTTGAGTTTACGTGGTATGCTTCTTAAGTGTAGTTCATTCTTCAATTACACTAAGGGCCGCGTTTTCCTAAGCTTTTATAACAGACCTTCAAAGAGGAGCATTTAAAGGTCTACCTTCAAGTGTTCTCCTTCTTGCACGTGTGTCTTGTCTGCAACAACCAGTAATTCATTGCTTGAGCAAAAATTCAGTTGAACTAAGCGTGGACAGAGAGTTTCTAACTCATTATAGAGTGCCTTAAGACTTTTTTGACTTTTCTTTTTTCTTACAAACTTAAGCTGACAACTTTGCTGCCAATACCAGTGGAATTCTTTAGACAATTAGTGCTAGGAACGAAAGCATTCTTGTTATTTTTGTTCCTTCTTCCCTTCGCTTCCTATCTTATATTAAGTTTAAAATAACATTATTGTAAAACTATACTTTATTTAGTCCCGTCAAATTGTTGTGCATTTAGTGAATAGACATTGTCTGCCTTATTTTGACAAGTCTCTAAAGCTTTAAATTTCAAAACTTATAAAATAAATTACGTGGAATGAAGAAATTTAGGGGTAAAATTCTCAACTCTGCAAGCATTTTAAATTTCGTTATAAATTAATAATCAATAGAATAATTAAACAATAGGAATCAGTTATTTACATAAAAAACTTATTTATTAATAACACGTGAAAATGCTGTAAAGAGCTGCGCCCTCAAATCACTCTGCGACTTATAGGTTGGATGATCGGTTGCACATATATTAAGAAAAAAAAGTTACTCCTTTCGACTATTTCCTGCGCTATAAACGGAATACCCGTACGACCTTTTCTCCTGCAACTCCTCGTTTATTATGAATACTTAAACAGTAAAAGGCAAAACATTCTTGAACACTTAATTTTATATCCATAATTACTTAACGATATTGTTCTAATACGGAAGAAAGTAAATAAATTGAATTGGAATAATGTTGTTCAGTACATCCAGCAAGACCTGGAATCAAGTTTAAATGACTGAGAAGACCATAGTAGGCCACAGACAGCCGTTAAATACCCCACCCCAGTCTACAATTATTCATAGAATAATTTTTCAAAATAAAGCGTTGCGGAGGAAGAGATCGAAAAAGCCATCACTCGGTCCGAACCATTTGCAAATACCAATATCTCTTGGGCTAAAACAGGTTGGTGTACCGAATTTCATCAAAATGCCTCGAAAAATCGCGACTTGTACATTGAACACCAGAAATAATATGGACAGACAGACGATCAGAATCGATTCAGAAAGTTATTCGGAATTCTCCAGTATAATGAACGGTGGCTTCATCCGCACAAGGTTAATATACTCTTGTGGTGTAGGTTATAAAGAAAGCACACGTGTGCTCTAAACCGAATGTAACTAAGCCAATCCAATTGCACTATTTTTTAAGACTAAGTCTTCTTCCTCTTCTTTTCAATTTATTCAATTTTGATGTTTGGTTTTTTTTCTTTTTGCAGATACGTGAAGAATTTCAACATTTTGGTTACATACATTGTTTGCGTAGAGTTTCTTTTATTCGGGGCGATTATATGTTCGTTGCTATTTTGCATGAATATTGCAAGTTTTCTTGTTGTTATTGTTGTTTTACAAATTCTTTAATTTTCACTAAATTATTTTTTCAGATTGATTCATCCACACAAATTATTTCGATTGTGATGTACATTTTGACAATGTTGTACGTTCTGTTTACCTACTATTGGCATGCGAACGAAGTGATTATGGAGGTAGGTTATCGTTTAAGGTTTAGTCTTAATCGGAAGTGAGCATCAACTTTCTATTGTTGCAGAGTGTCCAAGTGTCTGAGACAGCTTATGCGTTACCCTGGTATAATTGTAGTAAACGTTTTCGTAAAACAATTTTATTATTTATCATGCAATCACAACAACCTTTGCAGGTAGTGCTACTTTATAATAACAATGACTAACTGTTGAATATTTATTTACATTTGTTTTAATTTCTAGATAATGGTGGGTAACGTTTATCCCATGACTTTGACTACATTTCAATCATTGCTTAATACATCCTACACTTATTTCACTATGCTACGCGGACTTTATGGTTAAATGCATTAAACTCGTAGCTCTAAGGTGGAAAGTTTTTAATCATACGTTTCTTCGCCTGCACTTGATGCTTTTCTTTTAATTTTATGCTACGATTTACTACGAAAGCTGTTTATGAAGAGAAAGAACATTTAGAATGTTTTGAAGCAAGTAACAAAAACTATGTCGCGTCACGCCCCACCGATAAATACTCTACACCATCCTACAGTTTTTAAAATAAGGCATTATATGGAAAGTGGTCAGAAAAGTGGTTCGATCCGAATCAATTTTTTTACGGTTCGTCCTTGAACGAAGTTACATCGGTGTACCAAATTTCATCAAAATATCTCAAAAGGTACGGCGAGTTAGGTTGCACACAAGCAAAGAAGATAAGCAGACGGATCGACAGACAAGCTTAAACCAATGCAAAAAGTGATTCTGAATCGATTGGCATAAGAAAAGATGTGTCTAGTTCAAGTCCTTCTGGAAGTTACGTACATCCTCATAAGTTTAGCATACCTTTGTGGGGTATGAAAATGTAAAAAACAATTTACAGCTAATGAGCTTTAAATTGCTTTAGTGTAGGAACAAACTTGCTCAACTACGTGAGCTTAGATCTCTCTGGGGGTAAAATTGTTTAGCTGCTGCTGCTGTTGTTGTTGCTATTATTGCGAAGAGAATTTGGAATGAAAATTGCAAGAATCTCTCTACGGTAAGCGTCATCTGTAATCACTATCAACAATGTTGCGTTAATGTGTTGCTATAAATAAAGTGCACCATCAAATTAAAAATGCATCTGCAAATAATACGGAATAAGTTCATGCGCATCTATTGTACGATATCTGCCGTTCATTTGACACTAATACGAAGTATTAAACCGAATATTACACTGCAGTGTAATAATAGTTAAAATAGTTAAACATATTACCTCATAAAGCATAAAGACGTTAATTTGAAAATAACCATTTACTTAATTATAGCTTAGTGTGAATTAATCTAAACACAATGCTTTACTGTTCATCATGTTCAAAAACATATTGAATGCATTTGTGAAAAAAAAAAGAAGAAGAACTTGGTAAGTCTCCTAGAACTTCGCAAAGACTAGAATGCTTTGTAGACTTTACAGTTATTTCGCAAGAATTTAATAAAACCGCTAAACGATATTTGTTAAGATTTTGTTGCTGTAAAGCGAAAATAATCAAGTGAAGTAAAAATGCGCTATTACTTCTACTTTCAAGTTTCATGATACGTTAGCATATGGCATAATGCTTAGCAGGTCTAAAAAAAAAACTACGAATTCTTTAAGCAAACGCAACTTAGGTGTTTTAGAATGAATGAATGAAAAGAGAGAAGAGAAAAAAAAAATCGTATTCAATACATCTTCGAGATGACTGACCTTATATATGTGTTTTGAAGTTACTATTCAGCTGGTTTATGTAATTTTTTGCAACATAAGCATAAACATGGAAATTCGCTAAGCTCTCATATTACAGCCATTGTCATATAAGTAACAGAAATTTACGCCAAAAAGCTTATCATAAAGGTGAATAGTGAGCCGTTTCGTGGCTTCGTTTCGGCAGACCAGTTTCAGTAGCGTGTATAAAACAGATCTGTGTCTTGCGGGGCTTTCTTTACTAATTTGTGCTGCTTTCTTTATCCTACACCACTATCGACACACGGGTATATTAAATTTGTCTGTCCTTAAGTCCATCGTGTGTTCTTGCGCTTAAACTACAACTTTTGATGAAATTTGGTACACTGACAAGTATTCACCGAAGGCCGAACACCATTTGACGATTGTTCGGATAAGAGCACTTTTTCGAACACTCTTCCCATAAAGGCTTATTTTGAAAAGTTATTATATGAATAAGTATATTAAACGAAGTGGTACGGGGTATTTAGTAGTGGAACGTGTCCCACTACTGTATTTATTCATTTTTTTCCTTTTTTTAGAAATTTTTGGACGTAGCACAATTAGGGCTAAACTGTATCTCAAAATAAAGTTAAATTTCTCACACTGGTTTTTGCACCTGTTGGTTTTGAAGAATACGAAAATTTGTTTTTATTCTAATGAAAAGTTTAACTTATTGCAACAGTGAAATGTGTTTACCACTTATGTGGTCAGGGCTGTAAAATAATTAAAAGTCATATTAAAGACAAAACTATTTACGTGTCAACAATTTTACAGTAATCACAGCAAAAAATTGATTAATTCTTCCACTAAACACATACCAGGGTGTCGAACTCTTCCAAACCAAGTAACTGGCAACTTCAAGGCGTCCTAAGTAGCTACTTGCAGCTCAACTCTTTCACATCGGCACTTCTTAGCGCCTGAGGATCTCACTTTATAGGAACCGACGCTGCAGCGCTCCAATCCAAACTCAGTTGTGGATATAAATCTTCTCAACTGAATTTACGTAAAGAACGAGTAAAGACACAGCTCGCTCCTTGAATTATATCAATAGAGGAGCCGTTCTTGCAAACACGAGTACCATAGTTGCAAAGTAAGCAAACATAGAGAGAAACGATGTTTACAACTTTCAATTTCATGCACTTTTCTGTTGTTGTGAACTGAAAATGTTTTTTGTTTTTAACAAAAGGTAAATAAAAATTAATTTTATTATTAAAACTTGCAGTTCGCCTGAAGCAACGTCAAGTTTAAGTTTACTTAAGAAAACGACTGTTGATTGGAAAAGCCCGCCTTTGATTTTTTAATATGGAATTTTTGCTACATAGTTTTCTGATTACAAGTTATAGACAATTGTTAATTTTTCGCAAGAGAATAATTTACAGCCAAGGCTTTCTGATAAAGATTTTGAAAGCTTAATATAATCAATAATTTGTGAAAAATGTGTCGATGCAAACCACTTAAGCTGACGTGAAATTAGTTTCAATTGAATTTCGAATACCTTTCGATATTAGAAATCTTAGTCTAATGGAAGAATATTCGAAAATGTATTTTATATATGCTACTTAAGCTTAACCCAACAGTTTTTATTGTCCATCCATTGGTCTTATCTCAGTGTGTAACTACTATTTCTCGATCTATTCTCCGAATTTTCTATATCTAAATTTTCGGGAGAAATGAACGCGACAGGTAGATCTTATAAAGCAAGAAATTTGAACACAGTGAACTTAGTTGTGCACCTGAACCGAAGAATTATGCTACACCGAAAGAAAAAGGGCTTCGGATATTCCTTAAGATAGATATGCTGACAGCCGGAGAGGGTGGGGGGGAGAAGGAGGAGGAACAGTGGTCGTAGATGTGCAGCCTTGTTTTAGTCTGAGATTGTCTACCTGCTTGTCTTATCTCGGTGTTTGACTACTATTCCCCGATGTATTGAAATCACGAGAAGGTGCTGAAATAATTGCCCAGAAAAATGAACCTGATTTTGGTATTCCGTGCAATACGCGAACGCTAGCGTTTCAAAATTAGATGAAATGATTAAAGGCTCCACTTACAACCATCAGAAGGCCCGTAAATTTCTTCTTTTTGTCTAAGTCAAGGCGTTAATATTTCGAATGTTGCGAGCCAAGCTCTATACGATACTATATAAAGGATATATAATTGGTTCCTTCATGGCCCACCTATGATGAACATAACTTTTTCTTATCCTTCCTTTTATCAGGCATGCCAAACTAATAACAAAAGAAAGCTTTATCTTTCTCTTCTACTCGCTCTTATATAAAATTTTATGCCACAAGTGCTTTAATAGGAATACTGTTAGCCTTACATTTGCATGAAAATCTGTAATAGGAAGTAAGTATTTTGTTGGTGAAATATAGTCGCTTTCAGCAGGAAAAAGAATTCACTTTCTAAAGTTCGAAGTTTCTTACCCTGAAGAGCTATCAAGTATTGACGATATATTCCATTTTTTTCTAGTAATTACCAAAATGTATATACATCCGTATGTGCCCATAGAAATATATATTTACATTCATATGTATATGTTTACGTTTATATGTGTACATATAAAAGTATTTACTTTCCTATCAGTATGACATTTTATGAAAATTTTAATGTTTAATGTTCATATGCACAAACATACATAGCTATGAACGTTGAACTTTATCGTCAGAGAACAGAAATTTCTTTGATGAATATTTGCAAATAACTTTCAAAATCATTATCATTATCATCATTATTATCATCATCATTATCATCATCATCATTATTATTATCATCATCACCATCATCATAATAATAATCATAAGCTTATGTACATGTTTGCAAAAAAAAAAAGTAAAATTATTATTTATATTTTTTACAATAAATATTTTGCTGACATTGCTTAAGCTTGTTGCTGTAATAAAGCAATGTACACATACATTCATGGATACATCACATTCAATATTTTTATTGTTGTTGACATTGTCTGTGATTGTAAATAACAAATTTCTGTATCCATCACTCAAGGATGACGATATATTAAATTTATCCTCCGGTTTGCACTGCTTAAAAATGTACATAAGAGACATCACAAGATATTGAAAAGCTTGATCAACACAAGATTTTAGTCGTCAGCGGGGCCCTACGTTAATCTTTAGGTCCATATGCATCTGTCCGTTCGTATGAATGCGAGTCAATTGGTTCATACATATATTCTCTCGCTTGTCTGCCCACACATAGGTCCACCTGCCCGTAAGTTTGTCTGTCCGAGTGTTCGCTTGTCCGTCCGGCTGTTTTTTTGACCATTCGCTCGGTCTGTGCATTTGTACGTTTGTCCGTCCTTATGTCCATAAGGCAGTGGGTACTTCCGTACGTTCTCCCCTTCGTCTGTTTGGCCCCATTTTCAGCCGATTGTCCGATTATATGTGCGATTGCGTACCTATCCAAACATATGCAAGCTTGTCCGTCCGTCTGCCCAATTGTTCTTCTCCCATATTTATACATTAGTCCGTTGATTCATCCATACATCCGTTCATCCGTTGCGTTAGTTTGTTTTTTTTTTGTGCCTACCTGTCGATTCGTGTGATTTTTCTTTGTCGTCGTCTCTTCTTGAAACGTTTTGTTTTGACATTTATATCTCGGGTTAGATGTGACAATGACTTATTGAAACTCATAGCAGATGTCGATTTAAACTTTAATACGAATATTTAGTCATTTCCAGATCATCTAACAACTCAGTGTAAAAGATATTGACACGCCTCTAATTAAAAAAATTGCTATGCTGTTTTCA